GTCACCCAGGTTGATAGTTACAGAAGGGGTAAGTTCAGTGTCCACAGGGGAGGACAGCAAACAGCAGTCCCAGAACTTTCCTCTTCAGACTCTACAAGTGCATTGAGCAATGCCAGGGACCTCTCCCCAGTGACAAACACAAACACTGTTAAGCTCTTAGGTGCAAGTGACAGATGCCTCCCTCTGCTTCTAAACTTTAAAAACCTGTTTTAAATATCAAACACAATTATGAGGAAAACAGAAAATAGTCCTCAAAGAACAGGGGTTTTTTTAAAGTTAATGTGTCTGCCCTGCTTAATCACAAGCTGAAAGGAATACTTGATGACTGGTGTATACTTCAGTTAACACTATTTCATAAAGCCTGGCTTGACAGAAGTATAAGATAAATTAATCAAATAATACAAAAGCTGAAAGATGCACCAGCTGGCTCGTGCTCCAGCAGAGGTACATCAGCTGTGAGCAGCAGGCAGTGCTGCAGGAAAGGGACAGACCAAGTGGGCAGTGCAGGCCCGTGTCCAGCAGTGCTGTGTGTCAGGGACTTGCTTTAGACTGCTCACCCCAAATCACCCCTTTGGGGTGACACTGAGGGACATGACATCGTGCAGCACACAGCTCTAACAACTCCTTCTTACAGTTTAAGGTCAGGGACTCTCACAATGAATAGCTATTATGATATTGAGTATTTAAGGCTCGCAGATGTGCTGCCTGTTCAGTTTGCAGCTTATCAAAGCTTTATATGAAGGCACAATTTATAATGCCATGTTAAAAGCTTTTACAAATAAAAAACTGTTTCCTCTAAAAAAGATGTGAGAGAATATTATTTGTTTCTCCCAGAAATAGCATGCATGCCTCTTCCTTACAGCATCACAGTAAAGATTACTTCCTTATGACATTTGAAAATGAGCCAAACACCAGAGGAGAGATTTTTGTTTAGCATCAAGTCCTCATGCTCAAGTGTCCATCCCTAAACAAAAAGCAATGCCTGTAACATAATCCACCGCATGAGGAAGTTTACAAAGTGCTAAAGAATGATTTCAAGAATATTCCATTACTGACAAATGGTGCTAAGCAAGGCCTGGCCTGGGTTGGAAATATTCTATTCAGCACCCACAGGGCTCAAATGACTTTGGTGGTGAGTGTGAATGGAAATCAGTAACACTCCTGACACAAGAATGTGATCAGAAGGGTACTTGTCTCTGGCCACGTGAAGGGCAAAATGAATAAATTTATTACAAAAATAAATAAAAGAGAAAGAGTTTCACTACACAGGAAGCTTCTGCATGAGGCTCCAAGGCTGGTAATAACCAAAATGGTCTTTACCATTTCTCTGTGGACTGAAGAGCAGGAACATAAACACTAAAAATACACTGACCAACCCCCTGCTACTGCTCCATCTTTTGACATGTGGCTTCCATGTTTGTAATGTACAGATTATTCACACACAATTTCAGCCTTAGGGTTCCAAGGCAATGTATACACAAAACAGAAAGTACAGCACCAGTGATGGTTGTGGCCTTAGACTGGATGTTGGTAAGTCGGTAAAGTGATTTAAATTATTAATTCTCCATACTTCAGGAATGTAAAGCATGATATCAGTTTATTAATCAGAGGTCTCTCACTGTCTTTCCTTGTTCTAATGTTTGTCTTGCTCTTGCATAACAAGCCTCCAGTGAAACCCTCACTACCTTAATCAAGAGTTGCCTGCACACAACATTTGAACTGTTAACTCTCAACTCCTAACTGTGGAGTACTCAGGAGACGTTATTGACTCAAGATCCTACTGGAACCAGCTGTTTTTGGCAGTGTTTTTGGGTTACTGCAATCACCTATCAACAGTCCATCACTTACCAGAACTGGCACAGAAATGGGTTCCTCATTGCAGTAAAAGAAACTGAAGCCTATGAAAGCACTTGTTTCCTTTTACTGACGTTATCCCTTGCTCTGTCAGAGCCTTGTGAACATCATGAGTTTTTTAAACTCTTAAAAAATAATTACAGAACACAACACAACCACATTTACCCACCATCCTTATGGTCAGAGATTCTGGAGGACTGAAAATGGGAACACAGGTGCAGCAGTGTATTTGGGGTGGCTGTTTTCTACCCAGCTGCCACAGCAGAACCCGGGAGGACGCTGCCTGTGACTGTGCCTTTGTCACCTGGGCAGTAACTGGCAGCACAGCAGCACCAAGGGAATGGGGAACAGCTCCTCAGGCTCAGCAGGGCTGGGTGGCAGAGAGGCAGAGAGCTGCTCAAACACAGGGGAAGAGAACTCACTGTGTAACTCTCAGGTCAGGCAGGGCAGTGAGTGATAAATTTGGACAACTCCAGGGTCAAGCGACCTCTGAGCAGAACTTTTTGGAATAATAATTTTGGTCAAAAGTACTGAAGCTCTGCCCAAAACTCCTTTCAGAGTCCAGGTTCTCATCTACATCTGGGTTACTATAACATCTTTGGTCTCAAATTCTGCTGCTAGAGAATGGAATTTGTATAATGTCTTGAAAACACAAAAGCCTCAGCTCTGCAGCTGAAGGACTTTTCAGTCCAGTCATCACAGAAACCAGTCTGAGGTACTGGGGTTACTCTTACAAGGAAGTAAATAGTTGTTAGCATCATAGCTCCTCACCATCAGAAAAATTACTGGTATATTGACTAAATAAAGTTATCTTTGACTCTATTAAAAGTCTTACTTTGAAAACCAGATTACATTGTACAAAAGTCCTTCAGACATCTCCTCATGCCTCCAGTTGAATTACTGCTACCAAAATATTTAGTCATGATGTCTCCTGCCTTACCAACCATGTTCCCTGTCTGTACCCTACTGAGAATTGAATGCTTTATCACTTTCCAAACCTTAAAATTCACAGATCCTGGTCCTCCATATCAGTTACATCTACCATACCTTTGGTCTGATGCTCCCATATCCCAGCTGGCACCTCAGACATCTGGAGCTGCAGACAAGCCATGGCTGTACCTTCCAGCTCCATGGTCCTTTCCCTCTGGAGCTAGCCATAAATTAAATAACAGGCATGTAAGAATGATTTAAACACGTGCAATTATCCTTTTTGTAACTCAACAAAATATTACATCTCACACTACCAAAAATCAATTAAAGCCATAGAGGGGTGTGATCACTCTTCATTTAAAGCTCAGGAGACTGCCATGTTTCCATACACTCTTAATGCCACTAAGTCTGAGAGTTTTTAATCACTATTGCAGTGATACAAAATTCAGTGCATCTCTGTGCTACAGACCACACACAGAACAGGCCTGGAGAACAGCACAGGTCACCTGTGTGCTGGTCTTGATCAGAAGCAGCACATTCAGAGAGCTTCTACCAAAAATGCTTGAGGGTTTTTATTAGTGTTCAGGATCATAATGGATATTCCTTGTCAACTGCCAAGGTTGAAGCTTTCTGTGCTCTAGCTTGCACAAAATTATTTTGAAAGTTTAAATCAGAATGGCTGCAATTTCAAAAAAAATGTACCTAGGCAGAAAGACAAGTGGCTTTCCTCACATGGAGAAACACCTACTCTTTTGAGACAGTCTATTATCTTCCTGCTTTATCTGAAGTTAAGCAGAAGGCTGGCTCCAGCATAATACTGAGTATCATCTGGTGCAGAAAAGGATTTGAGGAGGAGAAATAAGGGAGGTAGAGAGACAAGATGAGAACATCATTAAGCAATAGGTAAAACAAAGACGCCAAAAGTCAAGGGTGCATAAGGGTGACGTGAAAGACACGGGAGCAGAGAGAGTGGCGGTGGCAGAGGGAAGTGTAACAGAGAGCAGGAATCGCAGGAGAGGAGGGTTAGCAGAGGAAAGGGAGTTTTTTGACACAACACTCTGCATTCAGCGGCAGCCCCGTTTCTGGCGCCGCGCTGCCAAACTCCGCTGGCGCACGGCGAGCCCGGAGCGCGCTCCTGCCTGCCCTGGGCACGGCGGCACCGCCGCCTGCAGGCGGCCCGCCGCAACTGCAGCCGGGCACAGCGCGGGCACAGCGCGGGCACAGGGCACGCAGAGCTGCCCTCCCTCGGAAACCCAGCCCGGGCACAGCTCCGCTCCCCCGGCAAACCCAGCCCGGGCACAGCTCCGCTCCCTCGGGAAACCCAGCCCGGGCACAGCTGCCCTCCCTCGGGAACCCAGCCCGGGCACAGCTCCGCTCCCCCGGCAAACCCAGCCCGGGCACAGCTCCGCTCCCCCGGCAAACCCAGCCCGGGCACAGCTCCGCTCCCTCGGGAAACCCAGCCCGGGCACAGCTGCCCTCCCTCGGGAACCCAGCCCGGGCACAGCTCCGCTCCCCCGGCAAACCCAGCCCGGGCACAGCTCCGCTCCCTCGGGAAACCCAGCCCGGGCACAGCAAACCCAGCCCGGGCAGAGCTGCCCTCCCTCGGAAACCCAGCCCGGGCACAGCTCCGCTCCCTCGGCAAACCCAGCCCGGGCACAGCTCCGCTCTCTCGGCAACCCAGCCCGGGCAGAGCTGACCTCCCCCGGGAAACCCAGCCCGGGCACAGCTCCGCTCTCTCGGCAACCCAGCCCGGGCACAGCTGCCCTCCCTCGGCAAACCCAGCCCGGGCACAGCTCCGCTCTCTCGGCAAACCCAGCCCGGGCAGAGCTGCCCACCCTCGGAAACCCAGCCCGGCACCCGCAGGAAGGGCTGCGCCACACGGACACGGACTCCCTGCCTAAAGGACATTCACGCACCCGCAGGAAGGGCTGCGCCACACGGACTCCCTGCCTAAAGGACATGCATTGTGTGCTGCAAGGCCTTGTGAAGCCTCTGAGCTGCAGAGCATGGCACAGGGCACAGCACCCAGCAGCACTCTGACAACGCCGGCCGTCCCAGCAGAGTGCCAGTGTCACACACACAGAGGATGAAATGTCCCCAAATGCACGGTGACTGATGCAGGGGAACCTCACCCCAAAGAACCCACACTACAAGCGATATCAGGCACTGCTAGGGTTGATCCAGGCCTAACAGTATAATGGAATAAGTTACTCAAATGTTAGGCAAGCTTGGGCTTTAACTTAGAAGTTCGTGATTATACAAGGCAATTTACAAAATTTAATTTCTTCAGAAATATTAATTTAGCTTCATGACATCCCAGTGAAATGTAAATTATTGTATTTATATTATCCAAGACAAAACTTCAGGCAATAATTCTAATACAGTACTGGGCTTGACTGCAAGTCCTCTAAGGATGTTTACCAATGTCCTCCTTGGTTTCATCCTTCCTCTTCTACTTCTGGTTTTTATACTGAAAAAAAAAAAAAAAAAGAAATTTTTTTTTGTGGAAAAGAGCACATAACTAAGTAAAAGTTAATACCAACAAGGATTTACAACTCTTCTTCATGATCCACATAAATTTGTGTCCATTTTCTTTAAGTTAGATTGAAATTTGGTAGGTTTTCCCTTTGCAGTATAAAACAATAAATCAGGCACGGTTATTGACTAGATTGTACCTGCTGGGATTTGGTTACTGCTAAAATATCATAATCTGGGACTAATCCGTGCTCACCCCTGTAACAATTCTCATTTGGATTTCATGGACCGGCAGAGAGAAGGACTTAACAGTCACTTAGTAAATTAAATCACAGGTATTTAGAGAGAAAGTTGAACTTTTGACTTGTTTCATTATACACCATGTTAAGGTATCACACTCCCCGGCCAGACTGAAATCCCAGGAAGCACGGGTGACTCTCAGATTCTGATGGAAACCATCCTCATTCTTCCATCTGAGAAACCAGTGTGACAGCACAGATCCACTGGGTGACAGCTGTGCACAGGCAAAGCACCACAGCTTTGCCACTGTGTGGTCTGCCCCGATCTCTGCAGACACGGGCAAGGTCTGAGGAAAAGCAACAGCAGTTCTGGAAGTTCAAGTAAATTGTCTGAGGATAGATGCTGTTAGGAAAGCAGATGATGCACAGCAAGATGTGGCTTGCAAAATGCTGTATTTTAATTTTTTCTCCTATAATAGAGTGATACTAGCCACCACTGCTATTTAATAGAATTTTTCACAGAAACAAAGACTTACACAGAGACTAACCTAAATTGTTACTGGTTCTGAAAAAACTCCACCATTAGTTTATACTGACTAAGAGAATTTTTAAACAAAAAACGTCAATCAGAGATCCCTCCTGCCTGGGTATTTCCTTTCACCAGACACTTCAACATCCAGGACAACAATTCGCTATTCAGAACTTGCTTTCCAATGTTTTCTTCTTTGTTCTGAACTGGAACCAAAATGCAGCACTTACTTTATTCATCACCCAGTCAGCATCTTCAATGGCTCTCTTAATGATCTGCTGGATTCGCTCAGGATCGTCTTCATCAGCATGGACTTTGAAACTCTGCAACATTCCAAGTGTCACTGACTTGTCAACACAACAGTTGTCAAAATAAAGGTAGCACTTAAATCTCAGAAAAATATTTGTTGCATATAAACTGATGGTCTAAAAAGGTAAAACTACATATTGTAACACCTGGCCATAACAAATCTGGTCATATGGAATTTCATGTTAAGTGTCTTACTCCTTTCATACATCAACAACAAAAACCCCAGAGAACTTCAATTCGGAACAATTTAAATTGTCTGGTATGTTAAAACTAGAAAGAGGACAACGGGTATGATCAAAGGCATGAAATTACTTCCATATGAAGAATAGAATACGAACAGTCAGATGAGATTTCCCCCAGTGGGGGGTATATAAACGACTGACATGGAACCAGTAGGTTTCACCATATGTGTTTATGGGATGGAGTAAGTAATGACTGCTCACTCTCTTGACTAACACAAGAATTAGAGATGAAAGCCAAGAAAAGCAGGTTCCAGATTCAAAGCAAACAAAAACAAACGGTCCTTCACACACTCCCCCTGCAACCGTGCAGAGGCACCAAGGTCTCCAGGCTGCAGGAGAGCCCAGCGCTCACCTGGCGGATGGCGTGCCGGTAGTGCTGCTGGACGGGGCCCGCGGGCAGGCGGCGGCAGCAGCGCAGCAGGTACCGGTACAGCTGCACCGAGCTGCGCACCTCGGGCAGCGGGGACATGGCCGGGCCGCCGGGCTCGCCAACACACGGCAAGCCGCCGGGAGCGTTACCGACAGCGCGGGTTACAGCAGCAGCCAGAGCAGGGCCGGCACACTGAGGCTCGGCAGCAGAACCTGCAGAAACCCCAGAAAAACCCCAGCGTGAAATGAGTGAGAGCTTGCTGGGTTTCTGGACAGACGGGGTGGCTGTACTGCTCAAGGGAGCAAAGCACAAAGTGCGGAGCATCCCCCGTGATGGGGACAGCCCCGTGGGCCACAGTGCTTTACAGGCAGACTGCCAGGGTGGGTGACTTTCGGTGAGTACCCAAACCTGTGTCACAGCCAGGATCCTGGAAGTCCTTCAAACTTCAGTGCTTTCCTCGAGCATCCCGAGGAGTTCATCCACACGGTGTCTTTTTAGAATAAGGACGCTCACAATGGCTACAAATGGCGCTGGAATTTAACAGTATTTCCTATTTTGTCATTCTGTCAAGAATTTCAAGGCTTCACCTGGAAACAACATGGATAAATAAAGGAGAAGAGAGAAAGAAACATTGTTAGGTCTGAAATCTTACATGTATTGGTAATAGCAACAGGAAAAGAACAAATCTACCAAGTTTCACTTCCATAACTATATTTACATGTCGTAACAGTAAGTCCATCCAAGTCCTATAAAGTGCTAATCAAAGACTGTAAATGCCTTGTCATTTAACAGATGGTTGCCATCTGCAAAGAACTAAATTAGCATTGGGAAAAAGGCACTTTTTACATCATTACTCTTAAGAATAAAGATAATAAATAAACAACTGAATAATGAAGTAGGTGCATGCCATTGCTTTAGCACTCATGATACCTACTCGTTATTTGAAATAATTTTTTCCTTTTTCTTAAGTAATTTAAGTCCTTTAGCCAAATGTATTTCAGAGTACACCACGGCAGCTATTACATGCCTGGGCTGTGTATTTGCACAGACTAAATCTTGTTGCAGTGGGGAAATTCTCCTCTCTATGCACCTATAAATGTCCATCATAATGGGATCCAAATACCACCAAGCTTCAACACGTTCATCTCTTGTTTTCTTCCTATGTTTTTTTCTGCAAAATACCCTTTTCTCTTTGCAGTGAAACCTATGCTGGGCATTAAATCCATGCATTTTTGGTTTGGATTCATTTCACTTTGGCACTCAGGCAGGGGAGGTGATTACACGGCCGACACTCAGCCGGGAGATCCCAGATTCCCCTTCAAGCAGCAGAAAGACAAGCAGCTCCAAAATGTGACTCCTAACATATAGACTGAGTTATTCCCTGCCCTTCTCTCCATGAGAGAGAGAAGTTTTTATCATCCACTACAGAAAACTGGAACATGTAGTTGGATTCAAATTGATCTGAACCTAAATTTAACTTTGCACACAAGTTTTTTTGGCTATATTCTTGGCTGGTAAGAATTTGTATAATTCCCCTGACCCTAAGAACCCAACCCTGCATTTCACATATTCCCACTTAATACACTGAAACATCCCAAAATTCAATACAGATCCCAAAATACACTTTGGGACCAGAGCCAATTTGTGAAGTTGTTTCTAGGCTTTGATGTGTAAACTCATCATATGTCACTGTGCTCTAATTAAACCTAAGTGGTGCAATAGATTTCCTGTCACAAATGCAAAGATCCCTCTTGTGCTGGGACTGTCCAGGACAGCTTGCTCCAGCACACAGAAAAGCAGCTCTGGGAGAGAGGAAGGAACCAGTCATGGAAACATATGGATATGGAAAGATGAAGCTGATCAATAGAATTGAAAATGTTTCACTATAGATAATTAGGAATTTTCCACTGCAGTAATTTTTCATAGGAAAATGATGAGCTGTTGAATTCAAATTGTGTGACAAATACATTTGCATGGATGAATTTTTTTCATCCTTTGCCTTTCATAAATACTGGACTTTCTAAAAGGTTTGAAGATGGAAATTTTCACCCCACCTATTATCCTATGAGGCTCTCATATACAAATTAAAAAACCAAACCACCTGAGTTCTGCCAGATTCACAGCTCCAAAAATGCTACAAATGCTGCAATGTGGACAAGCTTCACAGGGAAGTTTATCACCAAAGATCTATGTTTTTCTTAGGATGTAACTTCATCCACTGAAATCTTCACTGGAAATCTACCACAACACATGGGAAACTTCATAGCTGTTTTGGTAAAGTGGCTATTTAATAAGAAATAATCTCAAGATCTGCCCATTGTTAAGTTCTAAGATACTGGTGCCCTGTACAAGCACACCTGGCAACAGGTAATGCTACACCCTGCTCTTGTGCACCCCGATGCACTGGAGAATCTGCACAGCCTCTCCTGTGATTTGCCCCTTCCTCGGCACAAAAAGGACAATGAAGCACAGTAAGAATCTGCACTGTTGCCTTTTGTTCAGAAAACATCTCCCCTCGAATCCCACAAATGTTACCAGTTTTATCTGCCACGCAAAAAACCCTCAACTTCACAAAATCTGGCTAAAATCCTGACTAATAATGTAAATCTCCCTGTGATAACTTAAATATCGTGCACAGCACAACAAACAAACTATCTACACCAAGAACTGTTGAGTCAGAAATAAAATAATCCGCTAATTGTGCTTTTCTGGAATGGATGACTGTATAATGTCCTAATCAGAAGGCTGAAATCACATTTGCATTTAGATAAAGCCCCGTTCACAAAGAGACAAGTATAAAAGGAGACACTGAGACTATTGTGGCATTTCTCTGCATTGCATAATCATTTACATTCCTGATAATGATATTCAGATAGTGAAGCAAAGGCTGACCAAAGCCAATTAATCTTCTCTCTGCATTAGCAGGTTTGGCAATTGACCCCGTGCACAGCAGAACCCTGATGAAGCTGACACTATGCCACTGCTCTCAGTTTACTTTTTTTTCTGCTATTGTGGTTTTCAAGCAAATCCCCACAGTTCAACAGTCATGATCCCAATCCCTCCGAAGTAGTTAAACAGCCACCAAAGCTGGGCTCCAGAGACTAGAAGTGTTAATTAAAGGACTGCAAGAGTTACCTGAGCTGTTGCTGTTTACAGGTTGGCTCCTCCTTCCTGCTCAGCCCTCTTTCCCCAGTATACTGGCTAGAGATGTGTTTTACTACTTTGAAGTATTACACCCTCAGAAGTCTTGACTCAGGAATTTATGATTCCCCATCCTCGCCAAACCTCGCGATCTCAGGAAAAATAAGAATACCAAAATAACAAAGAAATCCGAAGCCTTTTGAAACCTCTTTAACCACAAAACATCTTAGTTCATGTTGTGACATCAGTCCAGGAAGGCACCCAAGTGGACTGCTGCTACCCAGAAGGTTCCTCCTCTTTGGTCACATCCATCCTCCCTGCCAGGTGTCCCAGACCGAGGCCTGTGGGTCCGGGGCAGGGAGAGGGGCTCTGCTGGCCCAGGCACAGCAGCCAGTGTCTGTCTGTCCATCCGTCCCTGCCTGCTCACAGGCACGGAGAGCCCTGCAGCCCCAGCCCTGCCGTGCGGGTGAGCACGGACAATGCTGCATCGCTCCCAGCAGCCGCGCCGGCTCTCGCCGAGACCGCGGCTTTGATGTGATCGCTTCTGACGCTTTTGTCCTTTCCAAACACGGGCTGCAAAGTCCCCTCGCAGGAGTGATGGTAGCCAGGCCTGCTCTCTTCTATTTCTGCTCCTCTCCCCTTTGTGCTTGGATGGATGCACGAGGCAGAAGCAATGTCAGGTGGCTCTGCGGAACAATTTGGGGGGCACAGCCCTGCGGTGTAAAGTTTGCTTTGCACAATATTTGTAGAGCACATGAAGGGTTAAGAACTGGCAAATGACAGATCTGAAGATTTCTTTGTTGACAAGGAACCACCACTGCTTGGACACCCTTCATGCAGTCCTACAGCATCAGGATCAGGCCTAATGCTATTCAACAATGTCACCAGTTTAGAAATATAAAACATAATAAATTATAAACATAATATAAATACAAAATATAGAATTGTAATTGATAAAACTGGAGAATGACAAAGAGTGCTAGAGCTGGGCATAATGACTACTTGTATAAATTAACCAAAGCCACAGGGCAGATGTCTTACCTTACAGCCTGGTTTGGTATCACACAGCACAGACATGCAATACTGCAAATAAAACACTCAGGCTTTTGCAATCCTACACCAATGAGGAAACATGCTGCCCATGCTGAGGCCAGATTACCTTGTTCTGTATAATTAATAAGCATGATCAGACTAACTAGAGTAGCATTCTTTGGTGCATACTCACTAGTGAGGACAGGAACCTTCCTGGTTTAGGTGCAATTCAAACTTCTCCACATTTTTCTCCTGAAAATGATTCTCCCAGCTTAAAGGAAATTCTGAAAGGCACAGTCTCAAAAGAACTTTTTCTTCTCAGCTCTGAATTGCTCAGTTCAACTGCTGTTAAAATTAATTTTGTTCACAGTGGCCAAATCTGTACGTATTTACCTTTGGGATCATGCCTGAATAGGAATTGAGTTATCAACTTTAAGCCAAAATTGCCTGTTCATTCCTTTCTTGTAAATATTGTATTTTTAAATGATCCATTGCTTAGTTCCAGTTCAGCAATTGTGATTTTCCCAACTACTTCATGTCAGTTAGTGCAACAGCTTTCTGGCTGAGGTTGTATCACCTTCTGAAACATCCAACTGGGCACCAAATAAGCTGCCACAACTGCTCTTCACAGACAGATACCCAGTTGGCAGCATAAGGCATGGAAGAGCCTTTGAAGAGCAAAACCATGCAGTCTGATTAATGACCACATTAACTCTGTGGACTATGGCTCAGACAAGCATGGGAAGAACAGTAAGTCTTACCTAACGTTTTGTAGTGGTTTCTCACTGTTCAGGAAGGACAGAAATTGGTTAAAGTTTATTTTACCATTGTTCTTTAACACATGCTTACTTTGCTCAGGCAATTCAACTGTATCATTTTTTCAAGAAAAAGTCAAGACAGTAAAACAAGGAGCTGTCAGTGCAGAAAGAGCTCCTCTTAGGAAAGTACAAGAGTTGACAAACTCGTAAAGGTGGAGAGTCAGAATTTCAAACAGCAAAAGAAGTCACTGTGATCCACACTATTAATTTAAAAACATTTGGTTTTTTAAACCAAAAATACCTAACATACTCCTCTGAGCCTTCCTTTAGTGCAAACATCCCATCCAGCCTACAAGGGAATAAACCCTGTGCAGTGTGACCTCTCCTTTTCCTGCTGCCCCAGCACATCCCTTCCAGCCCTGGCTGTGCCCATAATCCCTGGATGGTGACGATGGGGCTCGTGCCCTGCCCTGGGATCTACACCTCATCCTGGAGTTGTCCTTCCCAACTCACATCATCCTTCACAGCAGTGTCAGGAACAACTCAATGTCTATTATTCCAAATCCACACCTGCCGAAATCTAGCATCTGCCAATCCTTCACTCTCAATCACAGTAATAATCTGAGCCAACCCCTTTCCTGGCATAAACCCTGTCTGTGGTGGAATTAAACCATGGATGAATTTGAGCCACCACATCCTGAGCACAATCCACGTTCCTGGGAGCAGTGTTTATAAGCAGCAGTATTACAGGACGTGTAAGTCTGGGAGCCTTTAGCCTCTTAGGGGGATCGGCCCAGCTCACTAATCAGGGATTGTTTCCATACCAACAGCTAATCAGGGGCAGATCCTGCCATGTCTTGGGACACTTCTGAGCTCTTAAAGCCACAGCTCAAGTTTTCCCCAAAACTTCAGTGTCACTCTCCAAGACCTAGTCTAGCTCAAAGGCAATCTGAGGAAAAGGAAGATGTGGGCAGTGAGAAGAGAACCCCCAGGAGATTTGCTCTCGGGGGTACAGGGCTCACTCGTGACTGATTACACACAACACACAACTCTACTGAGTAACTGCACTCATTTAGAGCTCTGGCAGAGGTGAAGGGGGGTGAGAGAGAACTCTTGAACTCTTTTCCCTTTGCATTTATCAATACTCACCTGAGTGAATGAGCCTGGCAGGACAATTCTGAGTGGCAAAAGCGTTTGATGGAAATGGAGCTGCCTTAGGTTTCACCCCTGATTCTGGTTTGTTTACATTTGGTGAAACCTCAGGAAAAGGGGGATAAAAGCTTTGGTTCAATTGAAGTCCTGGTGGTAACCTCCAGTGCTAATAATTAACTCAATTATGCTGAATTAATTTGATATAATTATCGGTGATGAAGCAGAGACAGCGACCCAGAGAAACTTTGAGAGACAGGAAGAACAGTAGTCTTAACAATACAAAATACCCTATAAATAGCATCTTTTTTTTCCCCCAAACTGAGTCAAAGACACAAAATGAGTTATTACAGTCATCTGGCTTCACTCAACCCTCCAAATTACCCCTGTACCCAGACAAATAGCTGTGAAATCCAGCAAGTGCACTAGAATTACAGCAGGCCCTGACGAATTTGACATAGCACTCAGCACAAGCGTCTGTCCCCATCCAATTACCTAAACAATGAAGATTTAATAATACATTTAAGAGATCCACAATGCTTCTCCTTTAACTGAAGATGTTAATTAAGAACACTGTTCTGTTGTAGTGTTGTCAGTTGGGTGGTTTTTTTTGAGGAACAATCTGGAGGATGCTGCTTATGGAGTATTTTCATTTGATCTGCAGTTTTTATCTAGGATTTTCAGACTTATTCAGTTCAAAACAAACAAACCCCAACTATAAAAATCAAACATCTATCTTTTTCCTCCCCCATTTAATATATCTGTGATTTGCTTTGAAAGAGTATTACAGAAATGCCTTCCTTGCTATGAAAATACACACATTTTTACTGAGGGTTTTTTAATGCTTATGTGTTTAAAAAGAAAAGAAAATGCCAGTGGAAGCAAAAATCAGATGTGATTAAGTCTTGGGAAGTGGGTTAAATGGCAATGAAATCCAAGGAATTCTATGCAAATTAATGCTGGAAGCAGCACCAGAACGTCTCAGGCCTGTGCCCTGCTGCCTCCCCCTGCAGGAAGCAGCCCTGGCTGGTTCCAGGGTCAGACAAAGCCTTCAGCACCCCGAGCCCAGCAGGGCAGAGCAGTCCAGAGCCCCAAGGCTGCCCCTGCCCCGGGCAGGACAGAGCCCCAAGGCTGTCCCTGCAGCCTGGGCAGGACAGAGCCCCAAGGCTGTCCCTGCAGCCCGGGCAGGACAGAGCCCCACACGCTGCAGGTGGGGCTGGAAAGCCCCAGGTAAACTTTCCTTGCCTTCTTCCCCTCCAGTGGCACTGTGTGCCTGGATTTAGCACTACGGTTAGGACTTTCCTCTTGTAAGGAATTTAACAACTGGCAGCAGCACTCACACGTTTTACAGTCCTGCAGGAGCAGTGACACCCAGCCATGCAGACCTGGGTGCCTTTGCTCTCTGGCTTCAGCCTGAAATGCTGCTTGACTCACCCCTGTCACCATGCTGTAAATACACAAGCTCCCAAGCTTCTACCACATTTTCATTATCCTTGGTGACAAGAATAAAAATATTACCTCTGTCATCACCAATTGCTTCTGAGGAGAGATTCCAAGTGCTTAGATGTAAGAAATGAATAATATTTTTCCAATTTGCTAAGTAGGTGCTGCTCACACACCCCCAGATCACTTCCTCCCTGAGTTCTGCTGGTTCTCAAACACAGCTGATCTTTCAGAACTCGATTTAATTGCCACCAGGCTCTGATCAGACTCATCAGTTCAAAGCAAGCTCCATTACATCCATAATTTATGCATTTGATTTCAACAGATCCTTTTATGCCCAATACTGAGGGGGCAAAAAGCGTTTTAACAGGGGCAAAAAGCGTTCTCCATGAGGAAGATGCTAATGTTTTCTAAAGAAAAAGTTTTAAAAAATATTATTTCTGCAGAGACACTACATTTTAAAGTGGTGTGAGGGATTTTTCAAAGGCTCTGACACTTATCTGGACAGCCACTCAAATTTTGTCTGTGCCTCTTTCCTACAGTCTTTCGTTTAGAGAGGCGAGTTATTGCCGCATGGGGAGACACCCTCGGGAAAGGGCAGGCACAGGCTGGAGGGAAGCACAGCTCCCTCCTTCGGGCAGCACACAGCATGGAGCTGTGGGCTTGCAGAGCCCCAGTGCACCTCGTGCCCATCTGACACAGCGGGGTGTCTGCGCAAGTGAGGAGCGCAGCATTCCCGCCTGCCAGCCCCCCGCCGCCCCCAGAACTCCCTCTGCCCACCCCAGCCCTGCTCTGCCGTCACAGCCTTCATTTTCCCTTTCATGGGTTTTTGCTTGAAAAAGCATCACTGCCTCGATTGTCTATTTTCAGCCTGTATTTAAGAAAACCCTTTGGTTCCATTTGTAGCCACATCCTGTCTCAGCCTCCCACTCTTTTTGTTCCTAAATATAAGGCTGATGCAATTTGATGTGACATGACAAAATAGCACATTTGCATTGGCAGAAACTTTCTCTCAGCAGCAGTAATTAAAGGGAGTAGATGAGACATTGCTGAAATTGGTGTTTATTTAGCCTGGAAATAAAAGGCTTCAAGATGTCTTGAGAGGGATGTTCAAGTGTGTCACGACCAAGAAACTCATCAATGAGTGCCACCTTCTACAGGCTTCCTTTCTGACAAAGAAATGGTCACTCAAACAATGTCATTGATTTAAAGAGGTAAAAAAAGAAATCAGAGTTCTGTACACCATACTCCTAACCTGTGAAAATTATTTCATGCGTTTCTTGGGATTATAAATAGTACCAGGACACTTGTGGTTACATGTAAGATAAGGCCAGTCAGTCTCTAACTTAGAGCACAGGCTCTCTCAACATAAGAAGAAAACCAAGATCTCATTGACCACAGTGAGAATTAGGCACTTAAATACATGAATTTTTGATCTGAGATGCAACAGCAGAGGACAGGTACTCACCTTCACCTACAACACAGACTTTTATTAATTGCTGAAGACAGAAATCCAGAAACAGCAGCCTGAATCCTGTAAGTTCAACAGGATTCACACTACAGATTAAAGTTCATCTACAAAACTCATGAAATAATTTACTGTGCCTAGTTTTGCTGAACAGATGCATAGCAAATACCTGACAGGGTCAGGTAATGTCAGCTTTCTGTACTCTGTTCCATTATTGATGACAGCAGTAGAACACAGTAGTGGAAGAAGAGAAATATTTAGAAGTTGTGGGGGTTTTCTTGATATTTAGAAGGTAAATTTAGTTTACTTAATCCATATGAAGCATTCAGGGAAAGGTCTGGTAGCTGTTCCACAGGCCACAGGATTTAGCAGACATAATATGGTTTCAAGTGAAACTTCCTGCTCAGGAGCATCTTCCCTCTCCTTGTGCACACAAGGCTATTCTTTCAAACCCATCTGTGATCAGCTCAAAACCGGCAGCCCACGTTTTGAGCAGGCTCGTTTCCATCCTAACACAGATGGCACCAAGAACAGGGCAGGCCAGAAAAAAATCAGTTTGCATATTATGCTTCAGTTTTTATGGGTCAGATTACCATTCAAAGCCATCAAAATGGCAACCCATATGTGATGTGTCTGCCATCGGAACTGAAGTGATACACCACCAAAATCTTAACGGCATTTCATTAACCATTGCTCATTAACCATTGACTAAACTCTGATATTTAAAAGTAAAGACATTTTCTTTCCCAAGAATTTTTTTACTCTGACAGATCAATAAAATTGCTTTGGTGAGTCAATAAGGAAAAGACATTTTGCCGTCTTCATCCCTGAACAACTGCATCGGCACGGCTCTCTTGGCAGAAGGGAGCTCGGCTTCTATGCCAAAAATTCGCTTCCTCCGTGAGCCAGGTGCAGATGTTGGCTATGTCATCTGTTCCAACTTCTTTGTTCTACAAGCCAGAAAATTGTTCCCACAGCTTTGGGGAGAAAATGGGGATCTGAAGAGCTCTTTGCATGCTTTCATTGGTGTAAGAATATCAGATGTTTTTAAGACACCCTCGCAGAAATAAGAAATGTGTCATTCCCCCCACTTGTGACCATTAACCCACAGAGAACCGTGTCCTATGGATACCAAAGGGATGCTGCAACAAGGTCAAAGCCATGGCATTCTGTTCCCAGTCTCCTACTCACCCTCTGCCTCCCTGCAGTGCCAGCTACAGCCCATTGCCTGCTCTAGGGAGGGCATTGTCCCAGATGCTCCAAAGACTCTGCTGCCTCAGGGTCAGGTTTAAAGTGGGCAGGCCTCTTCTGGGAGAAGTCTATTGAATAGTAAAAGGTATTGGAAACACCCCGCTATGTTATCATGGCACCTGGAACTCAACTGCCATGCTGACTGACAGCCAGGGCCACCACTCTGTGTCACTGCCAATGGGAACATTCTTCATTCACAAGTTTTTCAGCCCTCTAGCCTCTCTACGTGATATTTTGGTCAATGCTGATACTTCAGGTGCATATTCTCAACCAGATACAAGACACACAATGAAAAATTCACTTACAGCATCCACAGTAGAGGAACTTTAATTATCTTCACAGATTAGGCCTGTCCAAGTCCAGAAGTAAGCAAGAGATCTGCAGAGAGAATCAATTTTCATTATCTGTTTCTCCTCAACTCACTCCTTGAAGTGCCATTAATAAAGAAGTGCTGAGAAGCCCATCCACAGCTCAATTTATCCCTATGGGAGCTTTCACTTTTGTCTGACCAGTCACATCAGACGTGAATGTATGGCTTCAACATGAACAGGTGGTTGCTTTCAGTCATCTACTCCAAAAAGCTTTAAAAAATATACCCTACAAAAAGATTTAAGCAGAGAGAGAACTGACCCTTCAATATTTCCTGATAAGAGTTGCTGGAGGTAAGAACGCATTTGCCTCCTTTAAAGAACCACAGTTTCTCACACTGAGAACTCTACAATGACATAATAATCACTTTACAGTATTCTCCATACAAAAAACTGCTTTGGATCCAGGCAATAACAGACAGCACACAAGAAACTGCTTTTTCTCAAATACACGACTGTACAGTGAGTAAAGCAAAGCAACTCCTTCTCTAAAGCCAACACTAATTTGTTTATTTAGAATCTCTCCTAAGTTTGTTCAAGTCAAGCAAACAAATTTCTCTGGCTATCCAAAGACATCTGGATCAGGTTTTATCTCAGATCCTGTCACAGAGACTTTCAAAAACTACTTAAAACAAAAGTCCTGGAAGATAACAATGACAGAGACTCTGAACTGATCTGTTTTGCCTCCCTTTGAAAGATACAAGTCTTTGAAAAATCTAAGGCAAAACTCTCAAGCACATTTACAAACACATGGATCAAAGACAGCTGTTGCCACAGAGGATTTTTTTTCCCCCCAAGTATTTAATAGTAGCAGAACTTGGTGACATATGATGATTGACAACAGCTTGGGATGTTCAAGTTTTGGTATCTAATGTCAGCACTTGTATTTGCCCTCTGAAGGCCATATCAAGATGCTCACAGGCAGACTTACTGGAACAGGCAATGTGAAACAGGAACCCAGAAGAACAGATTCAACTTTAAAAGCTCATCCTGAGTCCACTGACACTTTCTAGCTGTGGTATAAGAACTAAACACCAAAAGCTGCCTTATTTTAATCCATCACCTAAATTTTCCTTTCTGAGAGCAGAGGACCTCTGATAAAGATCTTGGCCGAGTGCAGCAGAGAACTCCTCTCATTAGCATTGTTAATTAGCACTGAACAGATACACCTGCAGTTAGCTATCCCACCAGGATTCACCACGCCCTTTCAGAAGTGCAGTCCTCCTCTGTTAACTCATAGTGTAATACCCAGAGAGCAACACAATTAACTTCTCCTTAGGCTGGTATTCAAACCAGCAGTTACTTCCATAATTTGCTTAGCAGAGCATCAAGCACCTGGGCTCAGAAAGCTTTCCAAACCTACTCCAAATACACCCAGCTGAGCTTTGGGAACACAATAAAACAGGATCAGTTGCTCTGTTTCATTGTTCAGTGACAAACAGTGCTTAAGGTCTAACTTGAATTTCCACTTAGTGTCTTTTAAAGAAAAGCTCATGTCAAAGGTGAGGTTCCTTTGTGCTGCCAAAGTGTGTAAAGAGCACTGATGTAAATGTGAATTACACCCCTGACACGGTTACTAACTGGTATAAGTTAGTTAAAGCCAATAATCTCCAACTTGCTGCCCTGTTTTTATCTACTAAAAGCCCAGTGCCTTCTTGTGATCCTCCAGTGCAAAGCTGACCTGCACTCAATCCCTTCTGTGCATCAGACTGGTGACAAGATTTCTGCATGTTTGTATGCCACCTTCCAACAGCTGCAGCCTTGAACAATGGCTGCATGATACTGTTGATTTCATATAACCTTTCAAAACAAATCATAAAAATTCTAGTGTGCCCCTAAAACATCTTTCAGAAAAACAGGCTTACTTTCCACGCACAGCCGTATTTCCAAGCAAAACTTGGGAGCCCATGTTCATTCACATCTATGATGCAGCAACAATATTGCTGTTCAATTTCTTACTTATCCTGTATCATACATGCTCATCATATCCAAAAGGAATACAGAAATGCTACCTGTAAAGTCTTTACACTTTAATAAAGTGACTTCTAATAATTTACTGAAGATAAACAGGTATAAATCTGCTGTTTCTAGCATGCTAAAACTTATTTATCCATTTGTCTTTATGGAAATTTGTTTCAGTGGGCAAAGACCAAAGCCACACACACACTCACATTATTTTTCAGAGGGCTGCTGCCAATGTTTGTTCATGGAGTGATGAATCCATTTATTGCATTACATCCCTGTCTCAGTGTGCCACAACTCTGCTTCCCACTGGTGTGAGAACAGGACCAGGAGCAGAATCAACTGCCCTGCTCACACCTTTCCTCCCCAGCACAAACTGGTCGGCTTCTACTGGGAGAAACATTTCCATAACAATCTGACCAGACTTCTCCCTCGTTTGTTTGCAGTGAAAGAGTTAATATCTGTGACCCAAATATGGAGACCCATTTTAAACTTGCTGAAAATTGCTTTTTAATCCTAGCTCTCGAGGATTTCCTTTGAAACCATCTGCCATGCACGCTGGGTACTCTTTCCCTGTATATATGCAGGATTACTATAATATGGATTCTTTTGTGTAACTTAATACATTTCAGCATATTAAAAAATTAGTTGAAATTTCCATTCTTTTCTGATTTCAAGTGCCATAAAAATGACTGTAGAAGTCAAAACCATTGACTAGTTCATGGCAAAGCCAGCACCCATATTTATCTTATTTACTGCAGTATTTACCTCGCAATTCTAATATTTAGTCAGTCTGACACTGGCTGGGTTTAAGGGACAGTTATGAGTTATTAGTATAACTAATGCACATGCTTCAAATCAAGTTCAAGAATTTTGCTGAATAGGAATGGATTTAATCACGTGCTTTACCATGCTTAAATTTCCCATGCTTACTTTCAAGTCTGCAAGACACAACACCATAATGATTAGAGATCAGAAAATGTTTCCCAATATTATTTCAAATCTATTGCCAAGTTTTTTCCATTTTCTTGCTATGAACCTTTATGCAATTGTATTTTTATAGTACATATACTGAAGAGAAAGAAAAACATCACACTTGTAAATAAACTGAATTTTAAGACTGGCACATGCAACTATGTATATTTTTGCAAATATCCAAGACTTAAACTAGAGAAAGTATATTGCTTACTGTCACAATAATCACAGCCAGAGTGATTGAAAATAGCAAACATTCAGCAAGCTAGATTTAGAATCAATTTATTGAATCAGTCTATAAAGAAAAAAAAAAATCTAAATCCCAGCACAATTATCAAGCATCTTCAGAGTGAAATACTTTTAAAAAATGTGATTTCCCTGCAAATATTCTGAGAACAGAAAATAAAGAGAATTATTTGCATAGGTTTAATCACATAATGTGACACTGATATTTCAGGAGCCAGACAGCTGACAGCCTGTGAACTTCTTTGTTCCACATAAACACATCTCAGAGCACCAAAGCTGTGCTGGGCTTCCCGAGCAGCCCTGGGTGCTCGCTCACACGATTCATTTCACAGCCAGTCACCCAAGAGCTAATGCAAGTGAGCGGCAGTGCAGAATCCCCCTCCAAAGCAAAGGGAGGATCCCACTCCCTTTGATGCCTTTTCCCTGGAAAGGAGCTGTGTTAGATGGGATGAAAGAATACACACGATAGATCTACACATGCAGATGCTGGAAGAATGCAGAGAGGAAAAAACAAGCAAGTAATTTTGTTTCAGCAGTAACAGATGTTGAAGCATCATCCTGCAGACGTTACTTTTAATACAATACCACTCATAAAGTGAGGGGGGAGGACAGAATAAATGCCCAATTACCCAGTTTTTTTAGGGTTTCCATTTTAATGAGCTTCCTAGATGATTCTGTCCTTTTAATTTTCCTCCTCCAATAATCCTATCAAGTTAGTTTTGTCTAAAACATCAGCAAAAAGAAAATCAGCTGTCTAACAAAATCCTAAAATTGCTGGTAGCAGGTTCTTTAAAATGACACCTTATACATCATTTACTTCTGTATAAATGCAGAGCAATTCCCAAGATCCTACAGCACTGCTGGGATTAGACTTGAGTGACTGAAAACAGCCTCATGTCCCGACACATCTGCTAATGGGAAACGGATAGAAACAGACTAACAGTGCAGTGGCATTTGCAGATAGATCAGTGCTGAAAAAACAACCAAACGCAGAACAAATAGATTAAAGCCACCTTTCTGTGGCTAAGGGAGGGATTAGGGGAAGCCGGGCCTGCATTCCAGCTGCAGACTAACCTGCTTTCCTGCCAGACCGCATCTGCCACTCCCGTTCCCAGCAGCGCAGTGACTCCTCACTCCTCACCTGCCACCTGGGCAGCCGCGCGAGGAGCTGCTGACCCGGGGGGGCACAGAGAGCACACAGAGCCCACCAGGCAGCACAGGCCCAAGAGAGCCCTGCACACCCACAGAGAGCACACAGAGCCCACACACATCCCCGAGCCCACCAGGCAGCACAGGCCCAAGAGAGCCCTGCACACCCTCAGAGAGCACAGAGAGCACACAGAGCCCACCAGGCAGCACAGGCCCAAGAGAGCCCTGCCCCCAACACCCCCAGAGCTCCCTGGGACCCCAGAGATCCCCCCTGACACCCCCAGAGCTCCCTGGGACCCCAGAGATCCCCCCTGACACCCCCAGAGCTCCCTGGGACCCCAGAGCTCCCCCCTGACACCCCCAGAGCTCCCTGGGACCCCCAGAGATCCCTGACACCCTGCACACCCTCTGCAGGGAAGCAGTGCCCGGCCTCGCAGGCAAGGACAGGGCAAGCACGAGCAAGAGCTGCAGTGATGGCACCCATCTAAACAAAAAAAAGTAAAGAGAAACCCCCAACAGCCATAACTGTTTACACAGCAGCTTTTTACAACCCACTGGTCCCCCAATACCACAGGAATTAGTGATGCAGAACTAATTGATACAAATCTCCTGAGGGGAGAGTTGCTGCTGGTTATCTCAAGATGAGAAATTTAGTCCAGAAGGATAAATTGGACAGACAGCTGAAAAGCTTTAGTTCTCCTGGTAGGAAAGGAATTGATCTGGTAAAGAAAACCCTTAAAGAGATATTATTATGTCAAAAAAACAGGACTAGGAAAAACATTAGTAGTCTTAGGACAACTGAGAAACCTCTGAAAACTGTGTTTATATCAGTAGAGCTAATTATTCCCACCTTCACACAAAAGATGAAAAACTAAGATGTCAAAACTTTAACATTTCTCCTAGTTAAACTTATGTTATGAATATAATTATGAAACAGCTATAAAAATCCCTGTTCTTCAATTAGAGATTTAATTTTTGCATCTAGTATTTTTACTTATCAATTCCCCTTCCACCAAGTTGAAGAAAAACAGAAGTATTCAGATATTCACAGGCATGTAAAAGATTCTACTCATGATTCTGGCAAAAGGTTTTAGCAGACTTTTCTGGATTAATTTTACTGCCCAAACCCTCAAATCCATCCATTACAATAATTTTTTTGACAAACAAAATAACAACAGTTCATGTGCACGTCACATGGGCAGCCTGCATTTTTTGCTCCAAAGTGCACATATGCAAGATAGACTTTCTTAAAAACATCTGATTTCAAGGACAGGATCATGTAGCAACAACACAACAATGAATTCTCAAAATGCACCTGCAACCCGTGGAGCATTGGCTCATCAAGCTGTGGGACTTCAGACGTGAGCCCTGCGCTGTGCTCAGGGACAATGGACTGTCACCATCCCTGCTGCTGTGTTCTGCTGCTGGGCCAGTGCTCTCCTGAGGCTGCCAGGGAATCAAACACCCCAAACCAGCTGAGGGTGGAAAAATCTCAGCAAGAGCTCCTAAACTAGCCAGATTCTCCATGTACAACCAATGCCTGTTGTCTGTCTGACCACAGAGGCAGAGCTTCCATCACCTGAACCAGTGACTCCAAAATTCCATGGAAGGGAAGATTTCCAAAGCTGCTATCTTCCTTGGACAACAGGACTGAATCCAGACAGGAACTGAACTGCATGGTGTGACCCAATGCTGAGTTCAGCCTACCCAGGCTGTGGCACACCTCACCAGCTGAGAATCTCTGCTCTCCACAGGGGCCACAGCCCCCTTAGGGTAATTCAGAGCACCTCTACTCAACTTGTGGCTTGGCATTATTTCAGCTACCAGTTTACTTCAGGAACAGTGGATCATGGAGAACAAGGTCAATCAGCATGTCACATATTTAAACAAGCAGCAAACAGCAATGCAACTCTTGGAAAAAAACATAAAAATACCATCACACATGAGATTAAAATCATGCATTGCTTTTTGCCTGGAGGAAAAGGAAGTAGCCTGCTTCTATCCCCTCTCCAAAACCCATCATTTAGGGATGCTGCTCGCACAAGGACAAGTGCCTTGTGGTGATGCTTTCAATTCTGCACCTTCTAGGGAAGATAACACACTGTGGAGCTATTTTAAGAACATCTCATTCACAAAGGTCTCCAATTCCGTCTTCAGAGACAGAGACTATTTTCTTGCTGCTGCAACATCTTTACTGGCTTGACATTTGCTTCAGAGGGAATTCATTTGCTGTTCCAACATCAGAATGGAGCAAGAGCAGCTGCCAGGAGAGGAATAAAAGGAAACACTGTCGACAAAGAGCAGCAGGGTCATTTCTGGTGCAAAGGAAAATAGAACAGAGAGAACCGCAGAACTGACACTTTCTCCAGAAAGCAGCAGGGGATAAAGATGTCCCCTCTGCCTCCTGCAACTGGTGTTTAGGAAGGGACTAAACAATCAGGCTTAAGTTTGTAAATGACTAATTATTACAAAAACCAACTGTAAGCCCCTAAGCATTCCCACTTAAAGCCAAGTTCACGCTTAAATGCTGCAGTCAGCAGAGAACTCAGCGTGTCCTTCAGAGCTCTCCCAAGAAAACACTTCTGGTTAGAAAGCTCTCCTGTTGGCCTGACTGACAGCCTCACCATAGGTCACCTGCTTGGTTGGATTACTCGATTCTTTTCCCTCTATCTTATTAAAGTGAGGGATTTGTTCCTCATTCCACAAGACAAGCAGATCCTGCCCTCCTCCTAGATGAAGGAATATTGCCATCCCTTCAAAAGTTAAGACAGAAACCTTTATACACAACCAAAGCTAAAACAAAATATTCCTTCCACTGCTTCTCTCTGAATTTTATTAATGGAGGAATTTATTCTTTTCCAGTTTCATGGAGAAAAGGTTTTAAAGACAAAAACTCAGGAAAATGATTCCTTGCAAAGAAAAGGGCTAACACACTCCAACAGCAATTTTAATCCCTTGATATTTCATGTATATGCTTATTCTGTTGCACGTTAGGATCACAGTTTATTTGGAGCGTGGTATTTATCTGACTAACCAAACCTGCTCAGATTCACAGGCATGAGCACCATGTTTCTGACACCTTAAGGGCTCCAGCATCAGGATTTATGAATTAAATATTTCCAGGGTGTTACAGAACACTGAGGACTGTATCTGCAGAGTGTTATATCAGGGTATGTGTGGGCTTGTCAAACACCCACATGATAAATTATCAATAGTGCAGCTCAGAGCACCCCTTTTGTGGATCAGAGACAAATCTGTGCATTTTATTATGCTTTGTTCCACTTAATGTTATTTTTTTCTGCATTAAAGGTTCACAAAACCCCTACATGCCTAAATGCTGAAGGACATTCATACACAACACATGATCAAAAGACTTATTCTAACATTTCAAGTCCTGTTTTCAAAGCTAGTTCATGTGGGACAAGAAAAAAATGCTGACAAGTTATGTCTGGAACTGGACAACTACATTTTATATTGTTCAAGATGATACAATCTTTTGTGTAGAATTTTAAGTTTTAAACACTGCTGAGGAGCATTAAAGAAACAGGGCTAGCTGATTACAAAGTGTCTGCCATCCCTTGAGTGTGTGCAGAGCACTGTCAAAGGGACTGTACCCCTGCAAACCAAGTGTCAAATCCGAGAGGAAAACAAATCTCTCAAGAGTCAGAAAAGACTGAACTCGAAGCTGTGCATTTTCAGAAATGAACAAGTGTGAGCCCTGTTTCTGATGCACAGGATTGACTTGTACATGCAGTAACAGACCTCTGCCGAGGAAACAAAGGGTCTAGTAGGCGAGCACTTTGCAAGTTCCATCTTTTCCTTACTACCATTCTGTTTTTCCTTACACATACTTCCCTATGAATCAACCCCAGATCTTGTCCTCCTTAACTTTCACAGCATGGACAGCCCAAGAGCAGTTGTACTGAGAGCTCTTAAGTTTCACAGTGTGACAGAGGCCAGGGACACCAGTTGAGAGTGCTTGAGAACCCAGTGTGCAAGGCAGATACACTGGTTAGGGTGGGCCACCCAAGGCTGGCACCTGACAGAACTCCATATGGGCACCAAGATAAGTGAGTGCATCCCTCCCCAGGCTTCACCTCACTGAGCAGGGCTGCTGCAGCTTCCCAGGGCAAATAGAACAACACGGCTGCAGCGTTTAGTGCATCTGAAATCAATAAAGTGGGTCCCAGATTTTATGAACACTTTACAGATGGAAGCTGGGGAGTGAGGTTTGGAGTGATCTGGTCAAGGACCGTCAGGAAACACGTGCCAGTGCCAGGACTGCAAACCCTGCACTCCTCCTGCTGCTGAGAATCCACCGACATGACAGCATCTAACAACACTTTCATGGTACTTCTAAGGCAAGACACTTATTTACCCAGTAAAGTACCTAACTGAACAAACAGCTAAGGTGACACTGTGTGCTTAGACTTGAATAATGGCACTGAGACACTGACCTGCAAATTCACCGAGAACCCAGCTTCCCATACACACTATTAAGCCACTGCTCCCTTTTACTACTTGAAGAGAAAAAGAAAAGTCCATAATGAAAATGTGTGGGAGAGTTTTAAAAGCCTTCTAGTACTGCCAGCACAGCCCTATGCCCTTCTGTAGCAGCTTCCTTCCTTCTCTCCCCAGAGCCTGAGGGGAACAGAAAGCAGGAGAACCCTTGGGGTGTGCTGTGTTCAGACCCAGCTTGTTATCAGCTTCAACAGAAACCTCAACCACACAGCTGCAAATGTGAGTTCTAAGCAAGTATTCTGTCTCTTCTTCCAACAGGTAATATAAAATGGCTGTAAACCAAAATTTGCTTGCTTATTATTTTTGCGGTCTCTGTTTTTAAAATGGTGACATGACAGCAAAACTCTGATATAATTGCAGACTGGACTATTAGTAACCATATTTCCAGGGATACACAGGGATATATATCCTGTGTATGGGTTGCTTTAACAAAGGAACCCATCTTCAGTCCGGCAAGCCTTTTCTTGATTACATTCTCAAAGAGCAGGCAAAAATTACGCAAACCCCATTGTTATAAAGTATCCCCAAAGCATCAAACCCATTCCTGCAAAGATTTTGCAGAGTTTTGGGAATCAGAGCAGGCTGTCACATTCAGGCTCTCTCTTCCTCCCCGCGCAGAGGAGCCCGATGCTGTCCGGTTTCCAGAGACGAACAGAAAGGACAGATGACAGGACCGCACCTTCAGGGCTGTTTGCCTGCCCGCACAGGAGCCAGGGCCAGCGAAGGAGAGGCTGTGAGCCCCTCCCAGCACAGCAGGAGCAGACCCCCGGCAGTCCCTGCCTGCCTCTGCACAGTTACCTGAAGGAACCTCCTCATCATCCTCATCACCCTCACGGTAATTTAACTCTACCACCACGGGAAAGGCTCCAGTAACCTGGGAGAGTTTTCCTGAGGTAAAACTATTAATCAGATATGATTAATATTCACATGAGAAAATGGAAGGTGTTAAAACTGTCGAGTTCTTACCCACCCCTGTGTTTTAGGGAACACTGGTGCCTTACCCAAAGACACTGCAGTCCCCGAGCATGCAGATTCATAGCGTGAGGGAACCAGAACAACCACCAAAGAACATTTCGGTCCTGGTTAACACGTACCTCGCGGAGAGCCCCTGAGCGCGTTCTGAGCACGCTGAAGGGAGCCTCGCAGAGACTGCCGCGGGCAGCGCTGCTGCTGGGAGCATCCACAGCCTCTCACCAGCGCTTTATTTCCCTCTCCTGCCAAGGGGAGCTCACGCACGGCACGACATGGTGCCACCGCCTGCTGCCACAGCCCAGGGGCCCCGCTGCCAGCCCCGCATTTGCGGCTCTCCAGTCCTCAGGGACTGGGAAAACAGGGCCCCAAACCCCACAGACCGCCACGCCCTTCGCGGGCAGCCCCCGTGCTGTGGGACCCGAGGGCACCGTGACCCGGGCGGCAGCAGAGCGGGCACAGAGGGAGCCGCTGGCGGGCAGTGGGAGGGCACAAGGACACGCCGGGAGCCGGCGCGGCGCCGCTGCCCGCCCTCACCGCGCCTGGCACCGCGCTGCCCGCCGCCCCCTCAGCGCCCACAGCGACCCCGCGCGCGCCGCGTCCTCACCTCACCCCGCCCCGGGACGCTATTGGCTCCGTCCGCCGCCCGTCAGCGGATCTCCTCCGCCCATTGGCCGTTTGCCGCCTGTGGGCGGGCGGAACGGCCGCTTCCTCATCCGTCACGCGGCGCCGCGCTCCGTGATTTGTGGGGCGCCTGCTCCTTCACCGCCCACCGGCTCCGTCCACTGGTGAGGAGAGCTGTCGGTCACGCCGCCGCCCCGCCTCCCAGTGCCATTGGCCCAGTAACCTCTTTTCGGGCTTTCGTTTCTCTTCATTGGCTAATTGGATTGGATGGGCCGCTGCGATTGGGCGAAAAGCGGGTCCCGGGGGCGGGACTTGGCTCAGGAGCAGTGTCCATTGGCCGGCGGCCCCCTGTGAGTGGCAGGAAGGTGAGGGAGGCGGGGCCGCCCGGGGTGAGGGTTGTGTGAGGTGAGGGAATCTCGCGGGGTCTCGGCGGCTCCGGGCGCGGCGGCGCGCGGTGATTGGCCAGCGGGGTCACGGGGGCGGTGCCGCGCCGTGGTTGGGGGGGGGCTCTGCACGGCCGCGCGCGGTGGGCGG